AGTAGAAATTTTGGGGCACCCTTTCTACTCTTTAAACAGTAAACATTTTGGGGCACCGTTTCCTAATTCATAGTACAAATTGAACACCGCCCTTCCTATATTAAACAGTCAAAAATTGTGGAGCATCCTTGTTAGAGTACACCTAAAATCGCAAGCACCTGGAAAGTGTCGCGAACGACCAGGTACGACGTCGTTCCCCGTAATTGATTACGTTACACCGCTAATAGGAAGACCACCTAGAAGCAGAGGCAAGAAAGTGGCTAAAAAGGCCACGAGGAAGAAGAAGGTGAGGAAGACGAGTAACAAGAAGTATGGATGATGAATGCCCCGTCTGAGCTGTCGCGTCAGCGAGGCTCTGTTTCTCGTTTGTAAACGAGCTTCCCTTTTTTCCCTCGACATAGGCAGCGCCACTTTCGGTGCCACGGAACCCCGGGCTCCATCGACAGGAAGAGGAACGTTCGAGCGCACTTTATTTATCTATCCATTTATCTTTCCCCCCGAGGGATTGGAGAAATTAGCGCCAACAAAGGCAAAAAAGATACGGCTATTATCATCGATTAAATTTCCTCGGGCGAACTCCGCGGTTTTATTTGCTTCTCTAGTTGCCGGCGACCGTAAAGAGAAACAAAAGAACGGCGATCAATTATCGATTAAACAAGATTCCGTGAGGTATGCAATTCATCATGCTGTCGGTTGTGAAAAATCTTACGATACAGCTTTTCTTGAGGATTAAACGCGCGTCGGGATGGGTAACCGTAACAAATACTACGGCGAAACAATATGTCTTCTTGGAACACCGATTAGTTGGTAGAATTTTCACGGATGTTTGCGGTGTAGTTGGTTCCGATTATTCGATTATTGGCGTTTAGTTTATTTTAGTAGGGAATTATCCCCTTTTTAAAGGAAGGAAATGGTCCATTACCCAGTTTCCAATAGTCTGTAAACAAAATTGAATCAAAGTAGAAATTCTCTGGAGTATCAGTCTGCCAGTCAACGTGCTCCAATTTCAATTACGAAACGAGTTAACATTCTATAGTCACCCTTTTAACAACCACCTTATGTTTGAATATTCGCAAACGTCTTACATTTACGTTGTATTGCACTTTTCTTTCAACCTTGCTGGTTACTATCGCCGAATCAGCAGGGAAAGGACAACCCGCGAGTGACAAATAAGCAAACGAAAAAGTAACCCGAGGGTGTCCGAGTGTCGCTCGAGCAGAAAGTTAGGGAGGGAGAAGGGAACGGCGAGTTACGAATGCCAGTCCTTAACGAGCGATAATAACTCTAGCAAACACCATGCATGTCTAGAGAGCTATTTTCCGCTCCTGTTGTGTGACCATCGTGAACACAAGAGAATTATAGTTGCCGGCGTTACGGGGGTCGGTGTGCGAGTTTCTGTTTATTTACTACGATGGTTGGCGCGAGTGTGTGCGAGCGTGCGTTCAAGGCGCCCAAAGTGTAAACCTGGCCTCCGTATTAACTACGCGACGAAGGGGTGCGCTCGAGTGGGCATTTTGCGAGAGAACGTGTTTTGATATTGTAACGTTTGTATTAAATATCAGTTTGGAGGGTGCGCCAGGGGAGTTCTAAGCCTCTCGTTTATTAGGATTTCATTAGCTGTCTTCGTTCGACCCCACCATTTCTCTCGGGTACTTGTGATATCGGTACGGGAGCCATGAGTAGAGTGTAGATTTTGTGCGTTTGTAAGCTAATTTAATAAATATTAGGTTGTCCAAAAAGTTTCATTCGCGAGTTGCATTCAATTATATCCTGTGACAGTGTTTATATAAATAGACAATCTAATTTTTTAGACACTGATGTTGTAACAGTAACGAAGCGAAATGAATTGTACACAATTTTGTAATGTAACATAAAACATAAAATATTGTGTATATACCTATTAATTATTAATAAAAGGAAAGAAACTTTTGGGACAACCTAATCTATCCTGAACATGACCAGAACGATATTATTGTATTAATTGGAGAATACCCTGCGTATCAAAAATACACGAACACTTGGATTTTAGAAGTTTTAATTTCTTAAGGTAGTTGTTCCATGTATTTGTTTAATCTAGGATTTTAACAAAATTCCCTTTGATTGCCATTTGATCGAACATGAGTCATTTAACCCTATTTCGATTTAAATTGGCCACCCCAGTTTTATGATAAACTATATCAAAATTTCGTACTCTACTAGGTCGAAGAAAATATTTATAATAATTTATGCTATCATAATAATTATGACAGCAGACGAAGTTTAATAATGTTTGATAAAGATTGTCGAAGATTGATTAGGTTTAGACAATTAACCACGTTTTACGACGATCTATCGCGACGACTATTATTGATTGCGATCGCTCGATGATGTTCGTCGGCGATTAATGACGTTTTATGACCATTTATAACGATTAACAACGATTGCCATTGGTCATTGAAAGGTCGAACATATTTAAAAGATATTTAAAAGGAAAATCAGTACAATGGAACACGTGTTGTGCCAGCCGCGAGCAGATCGAGGCTTTTTTGTTTCTCGTCGAGAGTTTTGTTACCCACTCAAGTCCGAGCTCGGAGTTCCGAAACACCCTGTAGATGCCCATCGAGAACGGTCTCGCTGAATAGAGGGAACACTTTTACCTCAGGTACCTACTGGCACGCGAGAAATCGCTCGCAATTTGCGCGCTAGGGCCCATTTTTGAAAGTCAATCGACCGTGAGAGCTCTCCCCCTTTTTCGCCGATCGTGTACGCTCGTAAATCTCCCTTATAACTCACCGTTTATTACCAGCCAACAAGTTGAATTAGCCCCGTCTGGATATTTCTGTCAGCCGTTGTCTGCGAAGTGCCCCCTTGTCGCAAAAAAAAATCGTTTCCGGGGTATCTTCCACCTTTTGTCCCTTCGAGCATAGCTGTAACGAGCACGCCAGACCAAACAGATTCCCAGTCTTCGATCGCAGCAAGAGTCACGATTCGCTGTTTTTGGAAACGCCCTGAAAATATCCAATTAAACAAAGTTTTTAAACATCTCCATTATCTTTCGTGTCTTATGCGATTTTTTGTTCACGAATAACACCGTATATCGTTGCGATATATTTTGCCTTGTTAATTTCTTGGATGGGTCCAAGGCCGCGATCCCGGAGTTTCCACCCCCGAAAACTCGGGGCGTGGCACGGCTGGCGCGGAAGTGTAAACGATCGGGAAGGAATTCGAGGACAGCGAGTCCTGATTTTGAAATGCGTCGAGTGCCACACCCCAGCGAGTCGCGTTCGCCTTGTCAACGACACAATGAGTCAAAGATTATCTACGACGGGATTCGCCAGCGTTATAACACCGTCGGGCAACCCCCTGCTTCGACTCGTCCAACCCCCTTTGGTAGTCGACGATATCCACGCGAAGAAAGAATACCTACGCTCTTCTCTCCTCGTTCTAAAGAGGGATACAAAAAATACGTGATCTATAGCGACGGAGGTATTATTTGCAGAAAGGAGAGAGCGTCTTCGAGGGGCGGGGAAACACGTTTGAATGTTTCTGTTGGTTAGAGTTCGGGGCTAGGTTTGGTTGCGAAACAGTTTGGCAGGGCCAGTGAAGGCTATGGGGTTAGGGTTGGAGGACTGGAAGTAATGGGGCTGTCAGAGGGCGTAGGTACAGAAGGTCTAGAGGCATTAGAGTTATCGAAAGACGTAGGTTTAGGGAATTAGAGGTGCCAAAGAACCAAGAAGATTTGAATTCAGATGATCAGAGGTACTAGAGTTACTAGAAAACCTAGGTCCAGAATACTAGAGGCACTAGGAGCACCAAAAAAGTCGAGTTCAAAGAATCAGAGGTATCATAGGGCCAGGAGGGATTGAATTCAGAACGCTACAGGCATTCGAGTTATCACAGAACCTAGGTCCAGAAGACTGTAGACACTTGAACTACCAAAAGACCCAAGTTCAAGTGGTTGCAAGTAATGGAGTTATCAGAGGGGTCTAGGTACAGAAGGTCCAGATCTAGCGAGTTAGGGGTACTAGAACTACTAAAGGATCTAGGCCTACATGATTAGAGATACTAGAATAGTAATTACTAATTACTAGAAGCACTAAACTCTGAAGCACTAAACACTAAACTCTGGAGGCAATGGTGTTATCAGAGGGCCTAGGTCCAGAGGGTTAGGAGTACTAGAACTGTTAATGGGCCTAGGTCCAGAGTACTAAGAGGACTAGAACCTACAGACAATTTTCAACTAACCCTGCTTTTTGCTTTCTAGGTCACAGCGGAGTGAATCAGCTTGGAGGTGTGTTCGTCGGCGGTAGACCACTCCCAGACTCGACGAGGCAAAAGATCGTCGAACTGGCGCATTCCGGTGCGCGACCTTGCGACATTTCCAGGATTCTGCAGGTCAGCAATGGCTGCGTGTCGAAGATTCTAGGCAGGTTGGTTGAAATATTGCTTGTTTTGGCACCTTACATTTTCTGGGACCTCCTGGCCCTCGCGATCAGAGCTGACGAAATACGTTCAGCAGTTGTGGCTTTCGAAACATGGTTTCCAATTGTCTCGAGACAAAATTTTAGCCTAGGATCAATCAGGCAGTAAACGTGACGAATCTAAATCACATTACTATTTATCGTCTTCTAAGGATCTCCGATTTATTCTAAAACTGTAATGCGTATCATAAATCACTCTCATTTATTTTGCTTCGAGACACGCTTCTGGAAAATGTTTTTGATTCCTTGAAGCGTCTTTCGAACGCCCTCGGCTGATATACAGGGTGTCAAATTTAAACAAAACCACCTGAATATTTCTTCCAATTGTAACGATACTAAAAATATTTTCCATACAATTTGAATGTAGAGTTTAGAGATGACCATACGCTGCGATATACATCTTCTTCGACGTCCTATCTTTTAAGGAGATTGGCCAAGGTCATATTATTACGAGCATTCACGAGCGAGAACACATCCGTGACTTTGAGATCTTTTCAAAAAATAAGACGTTGGAGAAAAAGATGTATCGCAGCGCACGGGCCCCACTCCGAACCATTCAAATTGCTTGTAAACTATTTCTCGTATCTATCACAATTGGAAGAGATATTCAGGGGGCCCGGTTTAGGTGTGACACCCTGTATATTCCATCTACCGCATTTTACCGCAAAATAATATTGTTGCAGGTACTATGAAACCGGATCCATCAGGCCTAGAGCCATCGGTGGCAGCAAGCCACGCGTAGCCACGGCGGAAGTCGTAAGCAAGATTTCCCTGTACAAAAGTGAGTGCCCTTCTATATTTGCGTGGGAGATCAGAGATCGTTTGCTTCAGGAGGGTGTCTGCACGAACGACAACATTCCTAGTGTAAGTACAACGTCCATTCCTTACGAACTACAACAAATTGCTTCGAGTATGTCTCATCGATTGCGACACGTAATTAAACAAAAGGCTAACGATTAATGACACGGCTACTGGTGATATCGATCGACGACGACTGCTGCCGTTCAACACTGTTCGACGATGTTTGTCGATGATTAATGCCTTCGTATGACGATCTTATCAGATACGATGATTCTTAAGGTTTAGCTGGCTCGGAACGTTCGAGACGTGGCGAGGATTAAGCGGAACGGTGATGATGGTTTTCACGGTGTAACAAGGACGACAGTTTGTAAAGCATGTCGCAAAACGCGAGTAATGGAGCTCGACTTTCAGAGGGTTGGATGTCGTAAGCGCGCAAGCGTGTTATCAACGGGGCTTTCCCCACGCATACAAAACAGAACCGCGTTTACATAGATAGCCGAGAGGGGATGGAAATCAGTTTTCTGCTAGGTGGTTACGAGGGCGTGTTTATGCGAGCCGATGAAATCTCCGTGCGAGGAAAGCGACATGCCGTTGTCGATTCCCTAGTCGCGACGTCGAGCTTACTTTTCGACACCTTCTTAGAGATATTTATTTCGTTCTCCGTTTGAAAACTTACGAATAGAACTCCGAAGACTTTGGCATAGAAGCATTGGCTGGTCAATTTAAGGAGGTTAGTATTGGGTTGTCTGGAATGTACGTGTCGATTTTTGGTAGGTGGTACAGGTCTGAATATATCGGAATGGTTGAAAACAAATAACATGTATGTGTACATCCCTTACAAGGTGGCAACTGGAAAGGTCGTGGAACAAAATATTACCTATGTAATTCGATAAATATTTATCAAAATTCAAACGAGTCTTTGAATTTTTCTTAAGAATTGGCACGAACTTTTTGGACAACCCAATATAATATCAGGCTGATCGGAAAGTTATTTCGTAGTTTTGTTTATGAAAGACAGACAATTCTCTTACAATTTATCGAATTCTGTTCAATAATATCAATAATTATAATAATACTAGCTTGTCCCGAAAGTTTCTTTCGCGAGTTGCACTCAATTATTTGACGTGGTCGTGTTTCTATAAATAGACAATCTAACTTCATATATATTCATGTTGTAACAGCGATGGAGCAAAATGAATCGTGCACGATTCAGTAATGCAACGTAAAACATAAACTATTGTCCATGTATTAGTTACTAATAAAGCGAAAGAAACTTTTCGGACAACCTGATATTATGTTCGGTAATTCTTTTTTTGCAAATGAACCTTGAAATTTAGAATGAAGTCGGCTCGTTAAAAACATTACCGAATCGCGTATTCATTTTGCTCCGTTACTGTTGCAACACCGGCATCCAAGAAATAAGGCCGTCTATTAATATAAACACTGCCGCGTAAAATAACCGAGCATTCAACATACGAAGCCTTAAATTTCGAAACATGGAAGCCACTGTATCGCACGCAGACGAGTTAATCGCGACCCCTACCTTTTAAACTGCCGCGTAGCCAGACAGATGAAACGGTAGCAGTCTTCGGGACAGGGATGGGCCGCATTCCATCGGGATAAAGGAATCAATTAAGATATTGCCGAGGGCGGAAGGAATAACGTACGGATCAAAAGGAAATTTTTCCCCGACATCTCTCGGTTTTCTTTTTTTTTTTTTTTTTTTTCTACAAGCGATCTCGAAGACTTATACTCCACCCACTGATACGTTCAGAGTTCACGACGACGGGGCTCTGCTTCTCATGGTGGTCCCCCGTTGCCATGGATATTTGCATGCGTCCAATAAACGGTGGCTAAGGGGCTCTCGACTTGCTCGGGGGTAAAAAGCGAAAGAGGGTCGCTAAATTCTCTTTTCCTCTGCCGTGTCCCTCTGTGCCGCCCTCCCTCGCAACCCCGTCTGCCTCTTTTTTCTTTTCTTCTTCTTTTTTTTTTTCTTTTTTTTTTTTTACTTTGCTTCTTCGTCCTCTCCTTTTTCCACTTTCTTTCCCTCGCGCCTTCGTAATGGGTTCGAGGTGTACGTACACCGCCACCCTCCTGCAGATGCTCCGACAGAAATTCCGAAAGGAAGGGATGACGACGACGGGACGGGGGTCGGGCATTTTTATCGTACCGAGGGAAACTGTCAGAAGTTAACTGTCTCCGATAGAAATAACAGGGGCCATCCGAAAGATTGCTTCGGAGCTTCCGCTCTCCGGCTATCGCGCGGAATTTAAAAACGCGTGGCGGTGGGGGGTGGGGGGTGGGATGCTTTGGAAACGACGAAAGGAACGTTTTCTCGATACATCGATGCCTTCGTTTCTCGTCTCGTCTATCGTACGCTTCGCAACGAATCAGTGGTGGATTGAATGGATTAAATGGTATACTTATCCAAGTAATCAAAATCACAAGCATAAATATCGAATAACGTTCCACGAAGCAATGCAATGATACTTGTACCCACGGGAAAGTAGGTATATCACGGGTTCCAAAAGCGAAGAAACGTGTGAAATTAAATTAAATAGACTATACTTCCTGTCAGGAAACAAAGAGTACCTCGAAGTATATTCCATCTGGATTGAATAAAGATGGCACAAGGTTACAGAAAAGAAAAAAAAAAAAACACGAATATGTAAATTTTGAACAACACAAGCAATTCCACCAAACTTCCACAAAGCAATGCAATCAGGATGATACTTGTACCCACAGGAAAGTAGGTGTATCAGTGGGTTCCAAAAGCGAAGAAATAAGGGAAATCGCACGCTACGACGAAATAAACGTGGAAGTTTCAATACACCCTCCCGTAATTCCCAAGATTTACTTAGGGACATTAAAACGCGTTGGCTCCAACACGTTGCCCCGACGCGGGTCGAGACGATCGCGGAATTTAACGGTTTAACAAATTACACGAACGCGGCCGGGGTCGGGTGAGAGCCTCCGGGGCGAAGGAGGATCAAAGCGGGTGCACAAAGTATAATCCTCGGCCGCGTTTGAGCATCCTGTAAGCGCTTCTGAACTTGTTGTGGGTAAGATTAACGTTTCTTTAATGGCCCGTGTAATATTCCATTATGTACAGTTCGCCCGAGAATTATTGCGTCGACGTCGGCTGAGACGGGAATTCTGGAACGGGGGGTCGGAGAGGGGGCGGAGCGTAGAACCAGATCGACCGAATCGAGAAATAAAAGGAGCATCGCGGTAGAAGCAATTTCTCTCTCGCGATACTTGCAACACGAACGATAGTTGCAACTGCAACTGCGCTACGTTAAAGAGCGTTGGCTACGTGACCGCGAAGTGAAACGTGCGTTGGAAGTCGTTATTAAACACGAATAATCTAAATTATTTACACACCTGAATTAAATCGTAACGCCCAAGACAAAATGCTTTACATTTGCTCAGCAATGAATGGGTCAGTTCCATGTAAAATATTTAATTGAAAAATTTGTCTCCGAGGCTAGTTATTTCTACGCGGTAAAAATAGTTATAAACGAACGTCGTTAACATTCTATTCCGCGATGTGTTCGATTCAAATCGTGTTCGTCTCCGCGATGCCACCGTGATAACGAAAAAAAGAAAACAAATTTGGTACGCGAACGGAGGAATGCGTAATCAGAATTCGACGGTGAATAAAATCGCGCAAGTATTTCGTTTCCGTTCCGATAAAGAGCGAAATAACACGCGTACGAAATCGATTTGAGAACGTCGAGCCATCGCTCGAACGTCCCTGCGTTTCCTTCTGGCGAGTATCCTTTCCGTGTCCTCGGCGTGTCGAAGGCTCGCAGTCGAACAGACGAAGGGGGATGAAAGGAGAGAGAAAAAGGGGGATGGAAAAGGTAGGAACGGTAAGGAGGAACGAACGTATTCCGAGCGGGTCGCGGTGATTGAGGGAAATTTCATTATTCTCAGACATTACCCCCGTTATTGTAATGCCATCAAATTGGATACGCTTCGTACACCCCGTAAAACGGCTGGAATATCCTTGAATATCCCGGAACGGCAGCTTGCTCCTGCCTCGACTTCGCAAAAGGTGCGGGAATAAACTCCGGTGCGTCGCGAATCTTCCACCCCCGTCGGAACAATTTTGCGCTAATACATTCTGGTTCGAGGACTTCCTGTTCGCTTCGGAGGAATAGTTTCGGGGAAACTTCCTTGAGTTTGCTTACGGGCTAAGGCCAGGTCCCCCGCCCAAAACGAGCTAATTTCGAGAATTTTTATCAGAAATTGATTAAAAGCAACGAAAGATTCGAACAGGGTATTTTTCTTGTAAAATTGCGACTCGAGGGTTGTCAAACGTCGCTTGGAATTTGGTCAAAATCTGGGGAGAAACCATAGAACAAAACGGAGAATATGTCATCGGAGATGATTCCCTTGCACAGGAAACATCGGTTTTCATTTACGCGTTAAAAATCAGAAACCTTTCGAACAACCCGATACTCTGACAGGAACCGTCCGAGTGTCGTCGAATTAATTCCAGCCATTTAAAAACTAAAAATGTATCATCCAGCCTTGAGGAGGGATTGGCTGAACGATCGAATGGACAATGATTTGACAAACCCGAACCGGGTATAGGACGTGGCGTCGGATTCGAAATGTCCTGTGAAGCTTTCGCTATCCGTTTCGCCGTCGAATGCGCCGTTTCGGTCCCCGGTCGGATTTGAATCTGGCACCCAGCGTGGCGGGCGCGTTATTGGTTTACTCGCACCACTGGTTCCGGAATACTATCAGTGGTTCTCGTCCGGCTCACAAAGGTGGACCCGCGTACCGTGAAAAATGTCCGTCGCGCTTTCATTTCGAGACCGTTCGAGTCTACGTGAACGAGCCCGAATAACATCGGGACAATATTAATCCATTTTTCGCAATAAGCCATTTTATAAATTACCTCGTCGAGTATCGCGATTCGATTTCTCGAAGAACGATTACTTTTTCCGATCGGAGTGAAATGGCAGGGATACAGTAACGTTTCCTGAAATGCACAAGCTCCGGACTGAGTGGTGGGGAGGATGGTTTCTGTGCATTTATCGTAGAGATTT